CTTTGGAGAGCATGCTTTTAACCAATCACCACTCATGCTAAAAAAGATAAAGCTCGATGCCAAGGCGCGTGGAATCTTGACAGACTCGGAGAAGCTGACTACTCGCATCCAGCCACTTACCTCATCCCCTACCCTGACCATCGATCATGTGCTGATGTGTGCATCGTGATGGTGCATACTCGTTGCAATCCCACATTCCGCCGATGAGTGAATGTGTGCACTGTACCAGAAACGTTTTATCTCGTTTTTCCTTGTATTTTCCGAGTATAAAAACGCCTTGTATTCAGTTTTAGTGACAAGTTTCGATTGAGAAATCGATCCTATGACACTTGGTAATCAGAGCCGTTCTCATTCGACAACTGTCGGCTAAGCAGCGGTCGCGGAAAAAATCGCCTCGAAAAACCGCCGGGGCGACCAATTTGACGCCGATTTCTAGTAAGCACCAGTTCCGTGCTTTTCAAATCAACCCCCTCGCGTGGTTTTTGAACGAGATGGGTTCGCCGGCAACCAATGACGTTATACAGCAGCTCTTTGCGCAAATCGCCAAGATGGAAGCGGAGATGCGAGCGACTACCGAACGGTCACGATTGGAGAACGAGCAGCTGCGAAATGAACAACAGCGCGTTATGCAGCTCCTCTCGACCATAAACTTTCCTGCTTCGGTGACTTTGCAGCAGACGCAGCGTCAGATAGAGGTTCCGAAACTTCTGTAAAAGTTAGAAGAGAGAAGAGGGCTGCACTAGCAAGAATGAGGATACAATTAGCAAACCTTAGAAGGGTTGTACTCGCTATAGAGCACCCCACTACAGGCTAGAGCATTAGATAGTATTCTGACACACCCCCATAGCCAAAGTGGGGTGTAATCAGCAGAGCAAGCAAAGCAGTACAAGCTCAGGGTGGATCACAATGTCACCACACATTCTGAGCACAAGTTCAAGAAGCAATAGTTTAAAGTTCACAATTATGAGCAAAGCTAGTGGTAGTTACAACGGGCAAGTGAGGAGGACGAGAGAGAGTGAGAGGAGAGGAGATAGGAGGCGACGGATGAAGCTGCAGACACACGGGCGACAGGAGGCACACTGGCACAGCGGCTACCGGAACAACGCTCCGGAATACTAGAGTAACTGGCCCCGCGGCTCAAGTAGCGGCAGACGAGCAACGGACCCACGGGTGGCTGGCACACCTGGCTACGACTGGGCTACTGGAGCAACTCCCCGGACTACAGATGCTGCTCGCGACACGACGGCAACCTCCATTCAGCTTCCCCAAACTATCCCACTCCCCCCTGGCACACACCCGCTGCTACACCGCTAGCTCCACTCCCCCTTCACCCCAACTTAGTACCACTCCACCGGCTCCAACACGTCCACCCCCCCTCAGCAACAGCTGCAGCACAGGGAGACGGAGGAAGAGGAGGAGCAGGGAACGGCACAGAGTGAGGTCACCCCCATACCCCTCACCCCCAAACCCTAATTCAGGAGAATGGGGAGTAGGAGGGGTGGGGCGCCAGTAGAAGCACTGGGGGACAGCGGGGAGGGGAGGGGCAGCGAGGAACGGGCCCACCACGGGCCTGGTACAGACACCCGAGCCGCGCGCAGGCGGCCCGAGTCGCGCGCGGGCCTGGCGCCGTCCGTACGGGCCACGCACGGGGCTGGCGCCGCCCGAACGGGTCGCGCGCGGGCCTGACGCAGCCCGTACGGGCCGCGCGCGGGCCTGGCGCAGCCTGTACGGGCCGCGCGCTGCCTGTACGGGCCGCGCGCAGGCCACGACGGGCGACGGAGGGCGACGCGCGGGTCCCCGTTGCCCGTCGCGGCGCTCCAGAGGACGACGCAATGAACGACGGGGCAGAAGCCCGCCGCGCGCCTCGGGGCGCACAGCGGGCAGAGAGCCGCCGCGTGCCTCGGGGCGCACGGTGGGCAGAAAACCGCCGCGCGCCTCGGGGCGCACGGCGGGAAGAAAAACAGCCGCACGCCACGGGGCGTGCGCCACAGAGAGTAGCAGTAGTAGTTGCAGCGGAAGCAACGAGGTGGTAAGCCCACCCACAGGATCGATCCAAGGGGATCGACCTGCTCTGATAGCATGTGAAAGTTAGAAGAGAGAAGAGGGCTGCACTAGCAAGAATGAGGATACAAATAGCAAACCCTAGAAGGGTTGTACTCGCTATAGAGCACCCCACTACAGGCTAGAGCATAAGATAACATTATGACAACTTCGCTCGCCGGAATCGTTCGACCCCAGCGACAGGAAATCCGGTGTCAGGCTAAGGCTCGCAACGATCAAAATTTATTTTGCGGCAATCGGATGGTCGACGACGAAGTACGACGGCAAAAAAAATCGTCTCACGACAACGTTGATGCGCGGTCCAGCACTCAAGTGGCTCGGAAGCAACAGTAGAATTTTCCAAGGCGAAGCCACGTGGCAGCAGTTCCGGGCAGACCTTCTAAAGCATTTTGAGCCGATTAATCCCACTTATATTGCGCGCGAAAAATTACATCACCATCGGCAATTCGGGAGTGTCGCGCAAAACACGCAGCTGATGGAAGAATTTTATAATCGTGACCAGCAGCAAAAGTAGTACCTCCAGCTCCAGCAGCACGGCTCCAGCGCCGGGCAAACCACTCGCGCAGCTCTTGCGGAGAGAGCGGCTCCCGCCTCGACAAAGCACCGCGAGAGGTCAAATGAGCAGACCCAGCACCCCCAGGCTCCGCACCCCCAGGCTCAGAACCCCTAGGCTCAGTACCCCCGGACTCAGTACCCCCAGGCTCCGCATCCCTGGACTCAGCACCACCAGGCTCCGCACCCCCAGACCCAGCACCCGCAGGCACAACACCTCAAGCAGCACCAGAGTCAACAGTTACCTCGACAGGCTCGACTGCGTCTACCTGGGACACACCTGACGGGGCAGGACCTTCAGGGGGGAGGGGATCTACCGGAGGAGGACCTAGTGCAAGGAAGAGTGGCGGCGGGGGGAGGGGCGCAGTGCGGTAGGGGAAGAGACGGTAGTAAGGCACCGACTTGTCAAAGGTGACGTCCTGGGAGGAGAGAATGCGGCGCCAGGTGGGGTGGTAAAACTGCCACCCAGGTGTGTTAGGGGGGAAGCCAAGGAAGACGCAGGGAACAACACGGGGGGACAGCTTGTCCGCAGACAAGTCGCGGACAAACGCCCGAGATCCCAAGACCCGAAACGCATCGTCAACCTTCCCTGTCCACCGCAACGTGCGAAAGGTCTTAGGCAAGGAGACCCAGGGCTGAAGGTTGAGCTGATGCGCTGCGTACTGAACCACAAACGGCCACAGAAAATGGGGGGCAGCCGCATGGATCATGAACGTACGAGCGACGTCCATGACCATGCCAATGCGGCGCTCAACAATCCCATTTTGCTGTGGAGAGGCCGGAAGCGTGAAGGTCTTACGGATGCCATGTGCACGATAGAAGGCTCCCAGACGGGCAGAGGAAAACTCCCCGCCTCTGTCAGAGTGCAGACGCAGAACAGGAAGGTCCGAGACGAAACTCTCTCTGAGCTGGAGACGAGCTGCGCGGATCCAGTCGATCAACACCTCAGTGACGTCACCCTTGCTGCGCAAGGGGAAGACTGTGGTGTAACGCGAGTAGTCATCAACCACCAACAGGAAGTAACGCTCGTGCCCCTGTCCACAGACGCGGGCGGGGCCCCACACGTCCATGTGAAGAGTCTGCAGCGGAGCCTCTGTCGGAGGAAACTCGGAGGAGTGAGGGGCGGCGCGCTGTTGCCCCTTGACGCAGAGGACGCAGGTAGGGGCAGGCCCCGGAGGTAGGGGAGGGAGAGAACGGGGAAGACCAGAGACAAGGACACGGGAGGCCATGCCTCGGAGACTAGGCAGGGAGGGGTGACTAAGGCGGTGGTGCCAAAGGAGAGTCTGGTGGGACAGGAGACGATACGAGCAGGGAGCAGACTCAGGACCAGACCTGGACGCTGCAGCAAACACATGACTCGACGCAGCTACCTGACCAGATTCAGCAGTCGGAGGAGACTCAGTAGTAAGTGTGTATAGGCTCGACCCCGGCCGATGGGTGAACGTGGCCAAGTGTCGGCCTGTGCGACCACACGTGCAGTGGGTCACCCGCTGACTCGCAGGAGTGAACTGGTCAACCCCCCTATCATGTAGATCAGCTCTACTCACCAAGTTCGTAGAGAACGAGGGGAGGTAGAGACCTGACAGGGTGCCAGAGGGGGCTGCCGGGCACGGTAAGACAGTGGAGAAGCTACCAAGGACAGGACCCCCAGAGGGGTCCGCCAGGGAGACCGCAACCGGCCGACTAAGCGGCGTAAGCGTGGTGCGGTCTCGGAAGAAGGAGCGGGAAGCACCCGAGTCAAGGGTGAAGGTGTGTAAGGCCTTAGCTGACGTGGTACCTGAGAGAGCAGACTCACTAGCACCTGGGGCAGCAGACGCACTAGCACCTAGAGCAGCAGACTGGATACCGGGGTTTGGCGGCATACACAGGTGACACACTCCCTCGGCATTAGTAGACAATGCATACATTGCAGTGAGAATAGCATCATAGTCAAGAGCCAAGATATCTACCGTCTGCCTAAGCAGCTCCACCCAATCGGGGAGCTCAGCGTCGTCGCCAAACTCTGTACGCCAAGTGTCGCTCAGACGGGCGAAGCAGCGGGACTCTGTGTGCCCACGCGTCTCGCAAGTCTGACCATTCCGGACACTCGTGCTAATAACGTACGGGCAGCGAGCAGTACTCAGCGACCCTCCACTCTGAGCGTACCACTCACGAAGCTGCTGGGGTGAAAGAGTCTCGCGCGGACAACGCTGCTGCTGCATCGGGCCACTACAAGAAATTCCCGATCTACCCACTCCAAGACGGCTCCCACTACTGCCACCTCGACAACCCCAACTAGTCTACCACTCATGAAGATGTTGGGGGGTGAGGGACTCACGCGGGCGACGCTGGAGCTGCATCCTGCCACTAAAAGTAGCTGCGGAACAACTCACTCCAGGACGACTCCCATGACGGCCACCCTGACAACCCCAACTAGCGTACCAATCACAAAGCTGTTGGGGGGTGAGGGACTCACGCGGGCAACGCTGGAGCTGCATCTGGCCACGCCAGGAGCAGCAGTAGCAGTAGAAAGAGCAGCAGTAGTAAGAGCAGCGGTAACAGTAGTAAGGGCAGGGCAGTGCTCACCAGTGGCGAGAAGGGCAGGCGTACGACGGCGGCAACGGCAATGCCGCTACCACTGTAGAGCGAGAGCTCCGCGGCAGCTGCAGGGGTGGCTGGTCCAGGGGTGGCTGCTACAGTGGCGGCTGCTCCAGGGGCGGCTGCTGCAGTGGCGGCTGCTCCAAGGGCGGCTGCTCGAGGGGCGGCTGCTGCAGTGGCGGCTGCTCCAGGGGCGGCTGCTGCAGTGGCGGCTGCTCCAGGGGCGGCTGCTGCAGTGGCGGCTGCTCCAGGGGCGGCTGCTCCAGAGGCGGCTGCTTCAGTAGCGGCTGCTCCAGGGGCGGCTCCTGCAGTGGCGGCTGCTCCAGGGGCGGCTGCTGTAGTGGCGGCTGCTCCAGGGGCGGCTACTGCAGTGGCGGCTGCTCCAGGGGCGGCTGCTGGAGTGGTGGCTGCTCCAGGGTCGGCTTGGATGCTGGGCGACTCGGCGGCTTAGGTGCTGGGTGGCTCGGCGGCTCGCCTGCCCGCTAGGGGCGGCGTCGGGGCCGGGTAGGGGCGGCGACGGGGCCGCTAGGGGCGGGGACGGGGCTGCGTAGGGAGGGGAGCGGCGTCGGGGCCGCTAGGGGCGGCGACGGGGCCGCGTAGGGGCGGCTACGAGGCCGCGTAGGGGCGGCGACGGGGCCGCGTAGGGAGGGGAGCGGCGACGGGGCCGCTAGGGGTGGCGACGGGGCCGCGTAGGGGCGGCAACGGGACCGCGTAGGGGCGGCAACGGGGCCGCGTAGGGAGGTCAGCGGCGACGGGGCCGCAAGGGACGGTGACGGGGCCGTTAGGGGCGGCGACGGGGCTGTGTAAGGGCGGCGCCGGGGCCGCGTAGGGGCGGCGACGGGGCCGCGTAGGGAGGGGAGCGGCTACGGGGCCGCTAGGGGCGGCGACGGGGCCGCATAGGGGCAGCGACGGGGCCGCTTAGGGGCGGCAACGGCGCCGCGTAGGGAGGTCAGCGGCGACGGGGCCGCGTAGGGGCGGCTACGGGGCCGCGTAGGGAGGGGAGCGGCTACGGGGCCGCTAGGGGCGGCGACGGGGCCGCTAGGGGCCGTGACGGGGCCGCGTAGGGGCGGCAACGGGGCCGCTAGGGGCGGCACTAGGGCCGCTAGGGGCGGCGACGGGGCCGCGTAGGGGCGGCGACGGGGCCGCTAGGGGCCGCGAGGGGCCTGGAAGGGCGGCTACAGGGCCGCTAGGGGCGGCGACGGGGCCGCTGAGGGTGGCGCGAGGGGCCGTGAGAGGGGCCTCTAAGAGAGGTCGACAGAAGGGCAGCCCACAAGGCGCGCCTCGGGCAGGAGCGACTGTCGCTCCGGTCAGAGAAAAAAAAGTTTCGGTGGTGGGCTCAAAGAAGCGTTCCCACTAGGGAACCTGCTCTATACCATGTGAAGAAATGAGGAATGAATGAACTAGCAAGCAGGTGGGTACAAGTAGGAAAACCTAGAAGTGTTGTACCCCATATTGTCTACCCCACTACAGCCTACATAGACTATAGCATATGAGTTTGACAGAACAAGCAAACTATAAAAAATAAATACCCGATACCACGGATCGACGACTTACTCGATCAACTCCACGGTGCTACGGTATTCTCCAAGCTCGACCTCAGATTGGGATACTGGCAAATTTGTATGGCGGACAACTCTATCCACAAAACTGCCTTTCGAGCTCGGTATGGGTCGTACGAGTATCTCGTGATGCCGTTCTGACTCACCAGCGCACCAGCCACGTTTCAAGCAGAAATGAACCACATCCTTCGGCCCCTTCTGGACAAGTGCGTGGTGGTATACTTGGACAACATCCTGATCTACTCGAAAGACATGAAACAACACGTTGAGCATCTGCGACGCGTCTTCAAAATTCCTCGACGAGGACGCTTCTACGTGAAACTATCCAAGAGCGAGTTTGCATTAAAAAAAGTCCAGTTCCTTGGACATATGGTGAGCGCTCATGGAGTTTACGTGGATCCTAAGAAGATCAAAGCAGTGTGAACTACGCCAAGATTGCCGCGCCATTAACATACCTGTTGAAGAAAAATACACCATATTAGCGGGAGGCAAAGCACCAGGAAGCCGTGGAACAGCTGAAAACAGCACTCACGTCCACACCTGTCCATATTTTGCCAGTCCCCGAACTTGACTATGTCATCGAGGCCGATGCTAGCGATCAAGCATTAGGTGCAGTACTCATGCAAGATCAAGGGAAAGGGCTGCAACCCATTGCATACCTCAGCAAGAAACTTCACAGGGCAGAACTCAATTACCCTATCCATGACAAAGAGGCCCTCGCCATCGTCAATGCATTCAAAGCATGGAGGTGTTATCTCGAAGGAAGAAACGACTGTCTACTCCGACCATTGTATCAGAAGACCCAACCAACACTCTCCACGCGGCAGGTCCGGTGGGTTGACTTTCTCAAAACCCACTTCCATTACGACATCGTGTATATGCCGGGGCACAAGAACAAGGCAGACGCACTTAGTCGCCCTGCACACGTTGCCGCCCTACAAGTCGATGGCATGAACCCGCTCTTGAAGGGACTCTTCATGCATGGATACACAATCGACCCCAAAATCTCCGTAGCAGAGAAGCGCCATCTTCTGCATTGGGATCAAGACATCGCGTACCGTAAGGGATCCACAAAAATATGGGTACCTAATTACCCTCCTTTACGCCAGTTACTACTCGAAGAATCTCATGATGTTCTCTACGCGGGCTACTTCGGTAGTAACAAGACGCTTGCCGGTATTGCGAAGCATTATTATTGGGCCCACATGGCGGATGACGTACAAAATTTTGTCACCTCGTGTGACACATGCCAACGGATGAAGAGCAGCAAACACAAGAAAGCCAGGTTACTACAGCCTCTTCCAGTCCCTGAACAACCTTGGCAAGTGGTTAGCCTGGACTTCATCACCGGGTTACCACCTACCAAAGCTGGTTACGACGCCATTCTAGTTGTCATCGACAAAATTTTCAAAATGGGACATTTCATCCCGACACACACAACGGCTCGCACTGAGGAGACAGCGCAATTATTCTTCCGCTACGTCATCTCGCAAAATGGCATTCCAACCACGCTGATCTCCGACCTGTCAGAGGTCCACTGGTGATCCCCGATTGATCCCAGGGAAGGGTTATAGGCACGTTGGCCTGGGGGGTTATGGGCGCACTTACCCGCTACACAAACAAGCCCTTTTATCCCAGCGGTCTAGTGGCTGGGATTTTGACATGGTATCAGAGCGAAGGTCTCGGGTTCGAATCACGGTGTGTGCACTTCGGGCATCCTAGTGCAAGGGGGTGTCAGAGGTCCACTGGTGATCCCCGATTGATCCTAGGGAAGGGTTATAGGCACGTTGGCCTGGGGGGTTATGGGCGCACTTACCCGCTACACAAACAAGCATTTTTATCCCAGTGGTCTAGTGGCCGGGATTCTGACACGACCGAGAACCGAAATTCATGAGTAAATTCTGGAAGGAGCTCATGTCGCTCATGGGGACCAAACTCGCCATGTCATCAGCCTATCATCCCCAAACGGATGGTCAGACCGAGCGCCTCAATCAGATTGTCGAACAGCTTCTGCGAGCAGCGTGTAAGGACGATATCTCTAAATGGGATGCACACCTGCCAGTTCTCGAGTTTGTGTATAACAACGCCACGCACGCCGCAACAAGGCAAACTCCTTTCTTACTCTTTTACAGTCGTAACCCACTCACGCCTCAAAAACCGACAGTGTCCGCCACGATGCAACCCGCACATGACTTTATTACCGCTATGCACCAGTTGTAGGAGCGCACGCATAAACGACTTTTGACTATCCAGCAACAACAAAAGAAGCTCGCTGATTGGAGGCGCAACGATCATTTAATCAAGATTGGCGATCAAGTTCTTCTGGATACACGCAATCTCGACGTCAGCCATCTTCTGTCTAAGCTCCGACCTCGCTTCTGCGGACCTTTTCTCGTCGAGGCGCAGGTCACTCCAGTAACCTTCCGCTTGCGTTTACCAGCTTTCCTAGACAATTCACAATGCCTTCCATGTACAACTTCTCAAGCCATATCGGGACCCAAACACGGTCTTCAAAGGTTGCCAGCCGCCGCCGCCACTGCCAGAGATTGTTAATGGAGAACCTGAGTACGAGGTCGAAGCCATTCTGGCGCACCGACGACGACGTAACAGCACCTTGGAGCTCTTGATTCGTTGGAAAGGCTATGATCCTTTTGAGGATAGCTAGGTGCCTGAACACGACATGGATAACGCCTGTCGTCCTCTCCAATACTACCTTGTCAAGCAGGGTGTTCCTTCTTCCACCCAGCTTTGAGGGGGGGAAGTGTGAGAGGACGTCCCCGTTATAATATTTCTCATTATTATATTTTCCTTTATCTTATACTCCTTTTTCTCCTCCTTATTTTTGTCTTTATTTCATCTCAATTAGCCTACTATTCTATTTTCTAGAGCCTTCTATTTATTTCTCTTATTTTCTACTTTTCCCACCGACATATCTATGATACAGCACCGATAGTGGTGTATACTGTGTAATCTGGGCGCAATCCCAAGTGTCAATAGCCTTGCGTGCTTGTGCGCACTTGTGATTGTAGTTTCGGGAAGGGCCTGTTCCCGAAGGTTCGTTTTATCTCGTTTTTCCTTGTATTTTCCGATAATAAATATGCCTTGCATTCAGTTTTAGTGACAAGTTTCGATTGAGAATTCGATCCTGTGACAACGCCGCTGTGACTGACGGTGAGGGTTATTTGTGTTCGTCCTTACATGTGCTCTTGGTCGGTGTTTGTTTCTGTTTCGCTATGTTAAACTTGAAATAGTTTCCATCAGCTTTAACATGTCCTTCACTGTGAGCTATGCTTCCCCAAAAATCATATACTCTCACAGAGATGTGACGCACAGCATGTGGCCACTATAAGTTCCCCAAACCTAACTTAATCAGAAGAGCATATGCTGTCTCCAAGACGGTGCAATTAGCCCGTTTTGCTACGCCGTTGGATTGCGGTGTGGAGGAAGTGGTGAGATCCTGAATGATGCCCTGCTTCTTTAACCATGTAATCAGCTCCTCCTCAAGGAACTCTTCACCCCTATCAGTCCTGATCCGCATCACCTTGTGTTGGGACTGCTTCTCCACCAACGCCACATGATCCTTCTTGTTGATGGGGTATGCCCAATTAACTCGGCTGCGGTCATCCACAATGGAGAAAAAGTATTTTCAACCACGTTCCCCCAACACCGATAGCGGTCCCACCATATCCATATGCACTAGCTCCAGCAGTTTCTCACTGCCACCCTCGGTGGCATGGAATGGAAACCGAGTGAACTTGCTCAGCAAACAAGTTTCACACTTGTGGGTTGCTGCTGCACCTATCAGCTTCAGCCCCTTAACCCCTTCCTCCTTGTGCAGTTGCTGTAGTGCGGGCATAGCAATGTGGTCGAGGCAACGTTGGGCTATAATCCA